AGATGTGTTTAAGAAACAGTATATATATATTCTCAAAAATTAAATCTGATATAAAAGAGAGAGGGCTTAAATTCGAAAATTTATTGTTGATTTTTATAAACTTAAAGGAATAGCTAGAAACAAAATCCGATGGAAAGCAATGAAGGAAGCGCCACGACCCCTAAGCCATATATGCGATGAACCTTGCACTACCATGTACCAGTCAGTCGGCTCCGAAACTAGTACCTGACTCCGAACTTGCCTCCCCGCGAGTACTCGCAAACAAACGACGTACACCACGAAAATAAGACCAAGAATGGTCTTGGTGTTAACTTACTTAAAGAGCGTTACATTTTTAAGTACAAAAAAATTAAATATTTGAAATAATTGTTATTAATGATTATTAATGAATATTACCTTAAGTTCGTTTTATTTTTAACAGTTATGTTAAAATTAGATTCTAAAAATATTCCAATTAGATATTTAATCGTGTGCTCTATCCGACACACAAATAAGGCCAGCTACCTAACTGATTTTCCCTTTGCTTAGCAATTGGGATAGCTTTACAAGCAGGGTGTTCCTGGTCACCAGATTAAGTACCGCCGTGTGCTCGACGGTACCCTTTGCTACTCGATCCCCTGCCCCCACGACATGCTCTGTATGCGCCACTCTTGAATAAGCATCGTTCTCTAAGAAGTCCCCCACTGAAGCCTCCAAAATTTGTATAAGCGCTGTGGTGTTTAGTCGAGCATTTACCGTGTCTAGCACCCTGTAAATTGGATAAACCAATACTCTCTATTAAACTTATGATAGAGCGGCGAGTGTGCGTGCTTGTGTTATAATTGGAGAAGTATGAAAAAAAGTATAAGATTTTCGGCACACGAAGTTAGGTACGGTACCGTAGGTAGATTAAAGTGAACACATCAAAGACAATTAATTAGATTTTTTTTCTATGGTACAATACAGATTAATTAGATCTCTATGATAGTCAAAAATCGCTAGCTGTTAAAAGATAATGATGATGTTATGATGATGACTATATAAGAGTGTTATTTCCGGCCAGCTTGAGGTACGTTTCCTCAAATGTTGGCATGGTATATCACACATACTTTAGATCTCTATATGATTGCCGAAAATCGCGGATAAAAGATTATGAGAAATAATTGTGATGCGATGATGATGAATTTTTGACTATATAAAACTGTCATTTGCGGCTACCGGTACTATTTCTTCAAATGTTCACACCAGCCCCAACCATGGTGGGCTGAGGTGGCTGTGGTCTCACGGAATGCCCCCCACCCCAAACCTTTAAAACAGACCTCGCCCAAAATAAATAAATAAATAATAATGATAAGGCAAATTCACTAAGATAAGTTAAATAATATTTTTTTATTCAAATATAATAACAATAATGAGGTGGGTGATATATAGGAATCTTGTACACATTAAAAGAACGATGCATCAGAGATGCATAATGTAGATGTTCTCCTTGGAGCTATTAAGGAAGCCATAACAATAATTAAGAGGTGGATAAAATCCAGGACAGGTGAAATTCAAATTGACAAAAGGTTGCATCAGAGAAACATATTGCTTGATTAATGTATTAATTCAAATTTGACTAATATTTTTTTAAATCTAAATAGGATGTATGTATGTATGTATATTTTTTTTAAAATAAATTAGTCCCTATTGCAGTGTTAATATTTTTTTAAACTGTGTCTAATGTTTATTTTTATGGAGTTTTAAATTGTGTATTGATTGATTGTATTGCTGATGTAAATTATAGATATTTTATATTTTTTTTATAGTAGTTTTATATTCTACCTACCTTTTCATATTTT